GATAACCATTCTTTTCCAAAGTGAACTTCCTTCATGTCTGTGGACTAGACTGCCTAAGGCCACAAGATTAGAAGTTACTATAATACATGTTACACTGTTAACTTTTAGCAAACTTTACTTTTGTTGAAAATCTTGTAAGTTTGGGATTTCAATTATTCTTTGTTATTAATAAGACTTCGTTCAGTCCATATTAACTTAGAATTCATATAGATGGCTCCTTCCTGATTCTGTAAGTATTTTAAAGCTTGGCTGAGTGCAAACAGCTCGCAGGTTTGAGCAATTTTCCTAACTCTGCTTCTACAAGAGTTTCCTCATCACTTACTGAATACCCATTGTGTCTTTTTCCCTCAATCACCCGGAAGGAACCATCTATTGTCCTGTCCCGAAGGGAGTTCCTTGGAGGTCTGGTGGGACCTTTGTATGGTAATTGAGATTTAGATCCCCTGTTAGGAAATCTGCTGGGTTAAGGGAATTTTCAGTGGTTAATGTTAAATCATCTTTTTCTAACAGAATAGCCTCATACTTCAAGGTTCTTGAGTCACTAAGCTACCTTTTTGCCTTTTTTTTTTTTTTGACTTAGGATAGTTCTGACTTGAGGTGTGCTCACAATGAGGTTTCCGCTAAAACTTGTTTTTCTACTTTCTTCTGTTAGCAAAACAGTTGCCGCTACAGATTGAATGCATTTGGGCCATCCGCAGGTTACCGGATTAAGAATTTTTGATTAGAAAGGCTATGGGTTGTCAGTGGCCTCAGTGTTTTCGGGCTATGCCTTTGTTTACACTGACAACAAGGTGGTATTGGAGTGTTATAGGGTCATGGAAAAGATCTTCAATTATTAATTATAGGTTTTAAATTTACCCTGGCTTTTAAAGGAATAGGATACACTATATTTTCTTTACTACTTCCATCTCTCTCTGTCTTTGACTCTGTCTCTCTCTTTCTCTTTGACTCCCTCTTTGTCTTTCTGTCTCTTTCTCTCTCTCTCTCTCTGCCTGTCTCTCTTTCTCTTTGACTCCCTCTTTGTCTTTCTGTCTCTTTCTCTCTCTCTCTCTCTGCCTGTCTCTCTTTCTCTTTGACTCCCTCTTTGTCTCTTTCTCTCTCTCTCTGCCTCTCTGTCTGTCTCTCTCTCTGACTCTCTCTTTGTCTTTCTCGTTCTTTCTTTGCCTCTCTCCTTCTCTCTCTGTCTCTGACTCTGTCTCTTTCTCTCTGACTTCCTCTCCCAGTTTCTCTTTCCTCTTTGCTGGTCTTTCCCTGCCTCTGCCAGCTGCTTATGCTGCTGTTCTCCCCTCTCCTTCCCCTTCCCCTAGGGGAGGGACCATTGGGAGAGGAGCTACTCTCTCTTCCCCCAAGAAAGGAAAGGGGTGTTCTGAATATTTTTCTTACTACCAGAGGTTTGTGTGAGGTTCAACCCCCTGAAATTTGCGGAAGGCTCAACCCCTCAAAGCAGGGATGTCTCGCCTTGCCTGCCCTAGAAGTCTCAACCCCACAAACCAGGGATGTCTCGCCTTGCCTATTCTGGAAGGTTCAACCCCTCAAATCAGGGTGCATCTTGCCTTGCTGCTCTGGAAGGTTGACCCGTTTCCTCTCTTTCCCCCTCTGAAGGTCCCTTGGACACTTCCCACTCATGTTGTCCTCTCTGGCCACTCCCCAAGGGAGAATTAGGCCCCTCTTAGTGTTGGCGTGCTGGTATAAATCCCATGGCAGGATCCACCCTAAGCCATAAGAGGTAGCTACATAACTGCAGGGAGGATCCACTCATTCCGTCCAGAAGTAGGACTTGTCACCATCCACACGAACAACACCTCAAGTAGGATTGTTTGTGATCATTCATACACACGCACATTTAGCCCTCCAGAATTTGACCACCAAGGAAGTACTTTATCGGCTCCCACAGCTTCTCCTTTCTTGGTCTGTGCACAGAGTTGTTGCCACAATATGTGAGGATCCTTTAAGCTAGGTTGCTGGCCAGTTTTTTTCCGCGTTGCTGAGAGCTTGGGTTATTCCTCGCACTGGGTGGGTCCTGATTTTTCACCCCTGAGGCCGTTGCAAGGGGGCGGGGTGCACCTCCTCATGAGAGAGAACCAGAGACCTCCCCCAGAGTGGAATGTAATCACAGGCGAGCCCCCAGATTGTTACAAGTAAAGCTTCAGTGCCGCAAAAGAAATAGCACTCGAATGTAAAATTTTCTTTTTAATTCTCAGCAAGGCAATGTGCTTCTATAGAAGGGTGCGCCCTTACAGATGGAGCAATGGTGAGCGCACCCTTGGACAAGGGAGGAGAAGGGGTTCTTATCCCTGACACACGTGGCCCCTGCTGCTGGGTCCTTCCTTGGTTGGCTAGGGTTAGACCGCACAGGCTAAACTAATTCCAATTGGTTAATTTAAAGAGAGTGATGGGGTGAGTGGTTTGGCAGGAAAAATGGTTATGGCAGAGCAGGAAATCGGAATGAGTCAGGGTGGAGAATGAGCAGGTAATGGGAATGAGTCAGGGTGGAGCAGGTAATCGAAAAACCTTGCTTTATGAGGAAGTTAAGTTTAAAAGTAGAAGGCAAAGATTTGAACGTACTGACAGATTGATTCTTTGAAAAGAAATTTAGAACTCATATCTAACAGTGCTGAGCTAAGAAGAGAAATAAACTCAATCTTGTCCGTTCTCTTTCCCCATTTCCCTTTCAGGCTAAAACTCCAGTTCTGGTTGAGACACAGAGAGTGGACAATGCCAATGAGAAATTAGAAAAAGTATGACCTCCCAAACCACACAGGGCTGAGGCTGGGGATGTGGGGGCTGTGCTTGTGGAATGGAATGATCATGATATGGAAGCGGGGCTCAGTTAGAAGTACCTGTGTGTGCATGTGTGTGTGTGTATGCGTGTGTGTGTATTTGAGCTTGTGCATGTATGTGTGCTTGTGAATTAAGATTTAAAATGTGAAAGTTAAGAAAAATGATGATGGGGAAGAGATGTAAGAGTTTTAACTTTGGGGTGGAGGAACTTTTGATACTATGACATGTTGACAAAAAGAGAAAAGAGTTGAACTCTGCAAAATATTTGAAGAGATTTATTCTAAGCCAAGTGTGAATGACCATGGCCCATGACATGGCCCTCAGGAAGTCCTGAGAACATGTGCCCAAGGTGGTCCCGGCACAGCTTGGTTTCATACATTTTAGAGAGGTATGAGGCATCAATCAAATACATTTAAGAAATACATTGGTTTGGTCCAGAAAGGTGGGAAAACTCATAGCAGTGGCTGGGGGGAGGGTGGTGTTTCCAGGCTATAGGTGAATTTAAACATCTTTTGACTGACTATTGGTTGAATTTGTCTAAAGACCTGAGATTCATAGAAAGGGAACATTCAGGTTAAGATAAAAGATTGTGGAGACCAAAGTTTTTTTGAACTCTTGTAGTATCTCCCCTTAGAGAAAATAGATGACAAATGTTTCCTAGTCAGATCTTAGTTAATCTCTTTAGGTTTGGGAGGGTCTGGAAGAAGAAGATCTAGCTATGTTAGTAGAGATTCTTTACAGATGCAAATTTTCCTCCACAAAGAACAGCTTTGTAGGGCCATTTCAAAATATGGCAAAGAAGCATGTTTTGGGATAAAATATTTTTCTTCCTTGTCTGATAATGTTATGCCAGGGTCAGGTTGGAAAGTAAAGAGTTAAATAAAACCCATCTGATGAGAAGTTATGATTTGTAGGGCATGACTCCCCAGGCCCCTTAGATACGAATTTGGGCAAGACAAAAAAAAAAAAAAATCAGGGTTTAGTCTTCAGACATGACAGAGGGAGAGAACAGGCTGTGGCTATGAACTTTTGCCAGGGATGAGAGGGCAGGACTGGCAAAGGATGTGACTTCTCCAGCAGGTTGAAGGGGTCTGAAAGAAAGGATCAGATCTGGGTGGAACATGGTAACCCTTTGACCCTATATCACAGTGTTCTTGCTGGTCAACAAGGTCCGTGGAAAACTGGTTGAGGTAGCCAGGGCAGGTGTGCCCCAAAATGGGCAGGACACTGAGACCCAGGGGCAAGGTGATGTGCTTGTGGCTATCAACCAGAGGATGGCAGAGGCAGGACACCTACCTGATCTGGTTCCAGCTAGTGTCCTGCCCAGTGCTCCTGAATTCCAGAAAAAGAGACAGTTGCTGATAGGGAATCAGGGCCTTTCCTGGCACACCCTAGGGCTGAAGCCAGTGGGGAGCATTCTCTGAAGGTCCCTCTTTTTTCTTGAAAGCCCCCAGAAAACCAAAAGAAGCTCTCTGACAAAGATATGGTAGCCACCAAGATCCAGGCCTGGTGGCGGGGCACCCTGGTGCGTCGGGCACTGTTGCACGCGGCCCTCAGCGCCTGCATCATTCAGTGCTGGTGGCGGCTGATACTGTCCAAGATTCTGGAGAAGAGGCGGCGGGCGGCGCTGGAGGCCTTCTCCCGGGAGGAGTGGGCAGCAGTCACACTGCAGTCCCAGGCCCGCATGTGGCGCATCCGCAGGCGCTATTGCCAGGTGCTCAATGCTGTTCGCATCATCCAGGCCTACTGGAGGTGCCGCTCCTGTGCTTCCCGAGGGTTCATCAAGGGCCAGTACAGAGTCACAGCCAACCAGCTGCATCTCCAGCTGGAGATCTTGCTGGGCTCAGGGCCTTGCATTGTGACAGAGTGTATTCCCCTCTCAATAAAGGAATGAACTGGTCTTTTCCAGATAGTCTCTGACAAGCTTCAGGAGGTCAGAGCAATGGATAGCAGATACTTGGCATTTCATATACCAGCTCTGAGGAATGGGCAGGGCTTGTCTGAGGCCTCATGTGGAGCAGACTCTGAGCCTCTTTTCCAGACTGAGCAGAGACTGTGATTGATTAGCAACGTCTGCCGTAGGAAGGAAAGTTGAGGGTACAGACCTGTCAATTGGTCAACTCCATGGAATATCATTCATATTTACATCATTCTATGTACATAGTGCACCCTCCCCAGGACTGGGTATAATAGAAACCTGGCGGGTGGTGGTCATGGCAATGGCAGCACTTTCTCCAGGAATTCACCCGTCTGGGTCTGGTTGCTCAGAGCTTGTTCCCCAACCCCTAGGACTGAGAGGAGCCCCCCAACCCCAAGCCCTGAGATCCTGTCTCCCTGCTGCACTGGGGGCTTTGTCCTTATACTTGGCTTCTAAGAATCTGAGACCCAAACTGGAAGCTGTTAGCATAACTCAAGTCCTCATCCTCACCTCAAACCCCATCTGTCCCTTGCCCTCGAGCCCCATATGAAAGCTAGGACTCATTTTCCTCCAGACCAGGCTGGCATGGGAGGTTCCACAGGCAAGGGGGTGGGAGAGAGGGCATTTTGCTGCCAACCCAACCCTCTGGTGAGTGTTAGACCTCAGGCTATCACAGCTGCAGGAGCTGAGCAGGCATTAGTCTTGTGTTCCTTACCCTCCCCACTGGCCCAACTTCTACAAGGGCCAATCCAGGCAGAGCTGGCTCTTCTGAAAGTCCCTTCCTGTGAAATGCTGCCAGCTGGGGTGGGGTTGGGGCCCAGGTGATGATAAGGGCCAATTAAGAGGTGAAGGTTTGCATTACTCTGATGATTAGTGATGTTGAGCAATTTTTCACATTCCTGTTTGCCACTTAGCAAATAACAATGTAGTGTATATTTTAAGATACTTAAAAAAAAGATTTTTGAATGTTGTCACTACAAAGAAATGATAAATGTTTAAAGTGATGGATATGGTAAATATCCCAATTTGGTCATTACAGTATATATACATGCATTGAAATATAACATTATACCCCATAATTATGTATAATTATTATCAATTATCAATTTAAAAATTAGTAACAAAAAAAGAGGTTAAAATTAGGCTGAACTTCTGCCTGTCAACACTGCTGTCACTGTCCTGTGGTCCCCTGCAGAAAGTGGGGATTCTGAGGACTGAGTCACAGCCCTATGTCCAGCCCTGCTTCAACGACTGTGCCCTGGAGAGCTGGTCCCTCAGCTCATAGATGTTCTGAGATGCTGCCCAGAAGTCTCAGGCTCTAGCTCTCAGGCATGAGCTCTGTATTTTCTGCTCTGTCCTGCCATGTCCTGCCCCTTGTATCTCGTTCAGGGCCTGGGTCTCTCATACCCACTCTGAAGGATTCCTGTCTTTCTCCTTGCCCCTGTTGTCCTGTGTTCAGAGTATCAGAGCATAGAGCTCTGACTTCCATCTGCTCCACCTCTCACTGCCCTGTGGCCATAGACAAGTCATTTCCCCTCTCTGAGCCCAGTGTCCTGAACTGTGAACTGGTGCTAACATTCCCCACCTTCCAGGGTAAACGTCAAGCACCATAAAAACTAGCACCTTCAAAACATCAAGTTTGTACACCTACTTTGCGTTTAACTTTGTTAATTATACCTCAATAAAGCTAAAAAAATTTTTCTTCATCAGCATCAAAACAAGGAAAGGAGTCACAAACAAGCCTTAAATACCGGTAGCCATGGAAAAAACAGCCAATTCTGGGGTCAGCTGGAGTGGCCCAGCAAAGCACATGGAGGCATGTTCATCATTGTTGAGGTACTCCCACTCCCAGGCCTCCTCAGTGGACAGAGCCAGGAAATACATGTTTGTGTGTATGCATAAGCATTGCACATTTATATCCATGTTCATTTCTGTGCCTATCTATATTGAAATCTGTGAGCTCACACTGATACCTCCAATCCCACCCCAAATTTAAGAATTCACTCTAGTTTTCTCCTTTCCTTATTTCTTTTCTTTTTGAGATGGAGTCTGGCTTTGTCACCCAGGCTGGAGTGCATTGGCACAATATTGGCTCACTGCAACCTCCGCCTCCCTGGTTCAAGCAATTCTCCTGCCTCAGCCTCCCGAGTAGCTGGGATTACAGGCGTCCACCACAACGACTGGCTAATTTTTGTATTTTTAGTAAAGACAGGGTTTTGCCATGTTGGCCGGGCTGGTCTTGAACTCCTGACCTCAAGTGATCCACCCACCTCGGCCTCTAAGTGTTGGGATTACAGGTGTGAGCCACTGTGCCCGGCCTCCTTTCCATATTTCTACTCTTCTTTCTGAGAGTGACACCCCTAGCTCCGATGATCTTTAATACATTTTCTTATTTGATTTTTCCTGTGTGCAACTAATTTTGCACAGCTACTACTGGCCCCTGTCTTACAGAGACACTGGCCTGTTTCTCTTGATCTCTGATATATGACACCGTCTATTGCCCTCTTCTTGTGGCTGAGGCTGTGGCTCCCCACGTTGGTCTGATGACTGGGATAAATGCTCTTTCACCCAACCTGAGCTGAAACAAAATGTCAGGCCACCCTCTGCGTGGATATCCTCTTCACTGTGCTCAAGTTCTGATGGTCTATGCCACCAAGGATGCCCTTCTCATCCTGCCTGATATGACACTATAACTGGTATGGACTTACACCCCCGTGTGGACTCCTCCTCCCACTGCCTGGGTTTCATGCTGGTCCCTCCTAGAACGATGCCTTCCTCCCCCGTCTTGTGACCCTCCCTCACCCGGCTCTGTTCCATGGTGGCTCTCTTTGCCCCTGGTGCAGCTATGTTGCACTGCCCAGCCTGAGGATTTCAGACCGATGGAGTGATTCGGGAAGGAAAGGGAAAAGAAAATGAAGGCAAGGGCAAGAGAAAACTAAATTTTCAATTAAAAAAATGGAGACAAAGCATCTGCAGAAGAAAATTCTCAATCATGGGCTAACATCTGCTTCAACATTTTCACCCCAAACCTCAAGCAAGCATAACCACAGAGAAGATCTGGAAATTGTTCATGAAATAATGAATCAAAATGTTTGAGGTTCAGGCCTTCCTCTCCCACTACAAATTCATAGGAATAACAGAAAAAAAAAACAACATTGATTTCAAAAGTTTGTACTAGTACCTAAAATATAGGAAGGGGGCCTTCAGGGAATGGAAGCATGTGGAATCCCTAATAGTCAGAAGGTATATGTGGAAAAACTGAAAGACAATAAATTAAAGCTTTAGAAAAGGCAAAGGCAAAGGCAAAGGCAAAGGCAAGAGTGGCCATGCAGTTTCTCCATGCTTGGAGCTAGCTGGCCAGGGACAGCAGGGCTGTGGGCTCTGCAGGGCACTGGTTGGAATATGCCCATAGGAGGAGCAGCTGGCTCTCTTCTGAGCTACACAGTTGGCAAGAGTGGCTGACGGCAGAGGGCTCTGTGACCCACCAGGGCCTGGTGCCATGTGACACCCTTGCACAGCAAGGACCCTGTCCAGAGGACCACCCACAGAGGTCCCACCCTGACAGGCCACCTCACAGAAATGGAAGACCCAGAAGTTCCACTGTTGGTCGAATGTGTGCTTCTGAGAAAGGATGGAGAATGGAGGGAAGGAGCACGCAAGCATGAGTGAGAGGATCTCCCATCATTAATGAGAGTTTTAATGAGATTCTTTAGAAAGAACTACAGTTTAAGACAGCTGACCAACTGCACCAAGATGAGTGAAAACAGATGGAACCCAAAATATGTTATGGCTGAAGATAAACTGAATGAAGATACCGAAATTTTTTTTTTTGAGGTGAGTTTCGCTCTTGTTGTCCAGACTGCAGTGGCACAATCTCAGCTCACTGCAACCTCCTCCTCCCGGGTTCAAGCGATTCTCTCACCTCAGCCTTCCGAGTAGCTGGGATTACTGGTGCCCACCACTGCACCCGGCTAATTTTTGTATTTTTAGTAGAGACGGGGTTTCACCAAGTTGGCCAGGCTGGTCTTGAACTCCTGACCTCAGGTGATCCACCCGCCTTGGCCTCCCAAAGTGCTGGGATTGTAGGCATGAGCCACCACGCCCTGCCAAAATGCTGAAACATTTAAACAAGAAATGAAACCAATGGCTTACCCACCAAGGAGTAGGTCAGGGTGACTTCAGGTTTCTCAGCAGCAACACTGATTGCAAAGAGAGAGTGGAGCCACAGCCTCAACTTTCTGCAGAAGAATCTTTCTCAGCACAGAATCATAAACTCACCTCGATATTATCCAAGTGTTGTCCCCCGCCCGGCTCCCCTGCAATCCGTGGAGTCAGGGACGTGGCACTCAATAGGCTAATGGGAAATCTAAAACCAAAGATGAGCACCCAAACAAGAACCACCAAGCTTTGGAGGAAACCAATAGCATGAAAAAGCATTCTTAAACTCTGCAAGCAGAAACCTGATAACCAAGGGAAAGACTTGAGAAATTAATATCCTCATTGGGTGGAGGAAAACATCTTAGATACAAAAGAACAAATCTTTATTAAAAAGCCATTTATGGATCTCAGAAAGGAATAATCCTTGTCAAAATTAAAACCCAGTAGATGGGATGAATAGCAGAATGCAGGTATAAAGTGCAGATTAATGAGTGGAAATTTTGATGTGAAGAATCCTCCTGGAGGCCAGGCGCGGTGGCTCAAGCCTGTAATCCCAGCACTTTGGGAGGCCGAGACGGGCAGATCACGAGGTCAGGAGATCAAGACCATCCTGGCTAACACGGTGAAACCCCGTCTCTACTAAAAACTACAAAAAACTAGCCGGGTGAGGTGGCGGGCGCCTGTAGTCCCAGCTACACAGGAGACTGAGGCAGGAGAATGGCGTAAACCCGGGAGGCGGAGCTTGCAGTGAGCTGAGATCCGGCCACTGCACTCCAGCCTGGGTGACAGAGCGAGACTCCGTCTCAAAAAAAAAAAAAAAAAGGATCCTCCT